GAAAAACAAACAAAAAGAGGATACATATCCCAAAGGAATAAATACACACCACTTATTTACACTTTAAAAATGTTTTTATTCATTAAAAAAAAACACATCTAAAAAAAGAACATCTTCCAAAATGAAAAGTTGACTTATGTGACCATGATTAAAGTAATGCAGAATAAATAATGGTTCAGGCACTCTGGGATAACAGAAATAGTAGCTTTATTGTGGCAACAACAGCAACCCTACCTGGTTTCGACCCTACCTGGTCTTTATAAAGTTCCCGATTAAAGTAAGACAGAAAAATATGTATACACAGAGAGAAATTAGTTTTTACTATATTCCTCTGATTCACAAAATCAGAAATCTTTTTAGGATCAACTTAGAGTGGAGTTGAGAAGGAGTCTGTAATAACATAGGAATTGCTGGAGGGTGGCCCCAGATCTCTACAGTTGGTGGAGGGGGACAGGAGGATTATTGGTGGAGGGGGACAGGAGGATTATTGGTGGAGGGTGACAGGAGGATTATTGTATTACTATTTTTAATTTTCCATCCAGTAAACACTTCTCAAAGCTGTCACTGAATATACAAGGAAAGATCTATAGTTTAATGTCCCGCAAAGCTATGTAGGACGGGTAACTGTCGGGATAGTGTATTGGGAAACAGAACTTTGCTGCACAACCCTCCATTAGGTGGTATGACAAGTGGACTGAATGCTGGCTGTGCAGCACATTCTAATTTCTTGCTGTACTTTTATTGAGATCCAGGAGAACATCAGCAGTATGCTGTTAGTCGGTAAGGAGAATGGGACAGCAAAAAAAGTGTGGGGAATATTATGGCACATCTAAACCTCTCTTTCGTAGTGGTCATTGAGTTTTCCATTGGATTCAAACTCAAACTCCAGTGTTTCTGGAACGTAGTAGCCTTCCTGGATCATAGTGATATATGCATGTCTGAAGGAAGGGGAAACAAAAATAAAGATTGACAAGGTGACTAATGAATTAGAACAAAATAAAAGAGGAAAGATGCTGAGAACTATTGAAGTGGGGGTTATTTTAAGCTAATAAAGCACTTTTGGGATGAGGTAGGAAGCTGTGTGTAAATGTGTACAATATATATCTATAAGCATGAACTTTAATACATAGCTCAGTTTAGAGATTGCCCTTGTGCTGTGTGCTGGCCTTTTTTTAAAGCTTTATGATGAACAAGCTGCTGAAAATACTGTTGCTTGAGGGAGCCCTGCTCTAAACCTAAAGAGCTAAGGCTGCTTGTGAATGCTGAGATATATAGAGGTCAGCAGGCACTGTAGCCTAGAGCAGTGGTTGCCAACCCAGTCCTCAAGTACCCCCTAACAGACCAGGATTTAAGGATTACTCAATTGTGTCTAAGGTGTTTTTTGGGGGAAAAAAACAAAAAACACTTTAGACACAACAGGGTAATTCCTAAATCCTGGACCGGTTAGGGGGTACTTGAGGATTGGGTTGGGAACCCCTGGCCTAGAGCATTTAAATACTTCTAGCATACCATTTTGATATTTTCACTGTAACTATGAATAGAATCGGTATACTGCTTATGCAACACTCAAGCATTCAATACATGAACTGTACAGACTTTGAAAGTGATCTTTGGTTGTTCTGTTACAGAAAAAGGGTTATTTTACGAAGTTCTAAGAAATGCAAAAAAGTGTTTTCTTTTGTTTACATGTACATTGTCTCATGGCTGGAGCATGTCTAATTACAAGTTTATATTATTTAATATTTATCCCTATGTTTAACAAGTGTGTGTTTGTGATAAAATGTAATGTAGAAATCCACACCTTTTTATCCTACAACAGGTGTCTCCACCTAAACCTCTTGTCAATACTTTTTAACGAATTCCTTCCTATACCTGGCAGCTAGCATAGAGAACGCATATAGAGAAGATAAAATATTAAACAATGTTTTTATTTCTCCTCTTCATTTGCAATGATTGCCTTGTCTGAACTGGATTAAGGATTTGCCTTGTCTGAACTGGATTGAGACACCATTTTCTAAATCTCAAATACAATTTTAATAGAAAACAAAGCATTGCATGAAAAAAAGTTCAACACAAGTCACAGGTGATTTTTAATGTTTTTTTTTTCAATATTGCAAATTGCTGAGAAATTACAACTTCCCTTTTTTTCTCCTATGGCAACTTTGGAAGTAAACCACAAACTCTAAACATGGGAAGAGAATTAAAGACAACATGGCAGACAGAGCGTCTTAGCTGATGAAGATGTTCACTGATATACTGATGGAAAATTTTAACTTAAATTTTCTTTCCTTGAAATTCCACGCATTACTTACTTCTTGTCTGGTATGATCTATCTGAGTTGGTGGGCATTCTTTCTATAGCATATACAAACACTTGTGATATGTGATCACATTCATATCTCCGCAGTGCAATGTGAGAAGCAGCACATAAAGGTAGACAGGAATAACACCTCAGTTAGTACATAACTGCAAATAATTTAGGAATGTGGTCGTTAAAATATTTGAGGTATGCAAAACACTTGAAACTGCGTACCCCCAGGTTGTTTCTTAAGCATACCAGAACAGAATAAAAAGATCAGTGTTTGTGCAAATAGTTTGAAACAACATTCATTGTGGCAATGGAAGATATTAAAAAATATATAATTCCCAATCATCATGATATAGAACAGCAAGACATTATTGCTTCCAAATTGAGAGAATACCCTCTCAATAATAAAAATACAATGTGAGACGTGATCCGTAGTATTGGCCTTGGTGTAGAACATGGATTTAGCACTATGCTTTTGTCAGTTTCACAATACATTGGAAATGCTACCAGACTACCAGAACATTAAAAATCTATTTACCTAAACATATAAAGAATATTAGTAAAGGATATAATAATTATAGAATGTCATACTTCCATATCTGGTGGCGGTGCACTAAAATGTAGCCATTTTGGTGTTAGATATTTAATTTGTGGAGGACTCTCCTCAGGGTTAACTTAATCTCATTTGGAATAATGCTTATTACATTCACAATTTATCATATTGTTTATTATATTTTACTAATAGATTTGTGGCTTTGTTGCTTCCACCTTTTCTGTAGTGAGACAGTGTTGGCTATATTTTTGCTACATTTGGTTACTCGCTATTACAGAAAAACATGACACACTTTCTGTTTTGGACTATTGTGAAAGCTCTAGACTTTTTAGTGAGGCTTTACGTATTTTTACTACACTACTATTTTTAGATATATTCTTTTTTTTATATATAGAGATCACCTGATCACATACACAATGGAGAATGCAGTGTGTTCTATCTTGTAAAATACTTATTTTTTTTTTGTTTTATTGGATTGTAAAATTGTGTGTGTGTGTGTTCGTTTGTTCGTTCGTTCGAAGCAAGGGAGAATTTTTTATTAATAAATACCTAATATAATTTTTTTTTCATTTATAGAATACCAACATTTTAAATTAATACAAATTACTGAATATAAGTAAATATAAAAATGATAAATTTTTGTTTATCCCACCCGGATGAAATATACAAGCTCTGTCGAATTTCTTTCATGGAGCATTACCTGGTAGAACCACTTGCCATGTTGTTCCCTCCAATGTATGCTCTGTTCCCTCTCATTCATGCTGTGCTCCATCATTTATGTGCTGTTCAATGCCATTCGTTCTATCTGCTCTGCAATCCATATGCTGTTCCCTGCCATTCATGCTCTGTCATTCATGTGCTGTTCCTTGACATTAATGCTCTGCCATTCATGTGCTGTTCCATGACATTAATGCTCTGCCATCCATGTGCTGTTCCTTGACATCAATGTTTTGCCATTGATGTGCTGTTCCTTGACATTAATCCATTGCCATTCATGTGCTGTTCCCTGACATTAATTCTCTATGTTCAGCCATTCGTGTGCTGTTCCCTGATATTCATGCTCTTTGCTCTGCCATTCATTCGCTCTTACTTGCCATTTATACTCTGTGCTGTACCATTCATGCACTATTCCCTTTCATTCATGTTTTTTTCCTGCCGTTTATCCTTGCATATAGAATACTGTTTCCTACCAGCGAATATAAAAAGGTATCCTACTGTCTTCACTTAGAAGTCTGCAATTCTTTGGTCAACTGATTAGTGAAACCAAGCAATTGCTTGTATACCACTGCATTTAATAATTTTGAATATCATTGTGGTTTTCTTACTAGCGTCATTCTTCTTGAGTCCTTTTATTTCAATGCCCCTAAACTTGGTCTAATCCTCCATTGGTCCCTGATCTTGATTTCCTTGTGATCTAATTGTGGGCATGATGGGAGCAGAGATTGTCATGGCTTCAGAACTCACTGGCTCAGTCTAAACATAGAAACATAGAAACATAGAATGTGACGGCAGATAAGAACCATTCGGCCCATCTAACCTGCCCAATTTTCTAAAAACTGTCATTAGTCCTTGGGCTTATCTTATAGTTAGGATAGCCTTATGCCATCCCAAGCATGCTTAAAATCCTTTACTGTGTGAACCTCTACCACTTCAGCTGGAAGGCTATTCCATGCATCCATACCCTCTCAGTAAAGTAATACTTCCTGATATTATTTTTAAACCTTTGCTGCTTAATGTTCTCTTATGGTTATGGTAGTTTTTCTTCTTTTAAATATAGTCTCCTCTTTTACTGTGTGATCACATTCATATCTCCGCAGTGCAATGTGAGAAGCAGCACATAAAGGTAGACAGGAATAACACAATAGTTAGTATATAACTGAAAATAATATAGGAATATGGCCGTTAAAATATTTGAGGTATGCAAAACACTTGAAACTGCGTACCCCCAGGTTCTTTCTTAAGTGTGTCAATCATATCCCCTCGTCTCGTCTTTCCTCCAAGCTATACATGTTAAGATCCTTTAACCTTTCCTTGTAAGTTTTATCCTGTAATCCATGATCCAGTTTAGTAGCCTTTTCTGAACTCTCTCTGAAGTATTAATATCCTTCTGGAGATACGGTCTCCAGTACTGCGTACAATACTCCAAGTGAGGTCTCACCAGTGTTCTGTACAATGGCATGAGCACTTCCCTCTTTCTACTGCTAATACCTCTCCCAATACAACCAAGCATTCTGCTAGCATTTCCTGCTGCTCTATTACATTGTCTGCCTACCTTTAAGTAATCAGAAATAATCACCCCTAAATCCCTTTCCTCAGATGTTGAGGTTAGGACTCTATCAAATATTCTGTACTCTGCCCTTGGGTTTTTACGTCCAAGATGCATTATCTTGCACTTATCCACATTAAATGTCAGTTGCCACAATTCTGACCATTTTTCTAGTTTACCTAAATCATTTTCCATTTGGCTTATCCCTCCTGGAACATCAACCCTGTTACATATCTTAGTATCATCAGCAAAAAGACATACCTTACCATCAAGTCCTTCTGCAATATCACTAATAAAAATATTAGAGAATGGGTCCAAGTACCGGTCCCTGAGGTACCCCTAAAGGAGAAGAGGCTGTTAGGGAGAAGGCCTACTGATGTCCACTCTATGGTATCTTATCACAGCATCTTGCTAAAGTACCCTGCTGACATTTTTCCAGCTCAAGTTCCAGTGTCACCATTGTTTGTATTATGCATGTTTGTGTGCGTATGTTTGTATGTTTAGTATTCTATTATTTTCTTATCTGTTTAACTTGTTTTTTCTAGAGCTAGTGCTTTTAGAACTCGTATTTTGTTGCCTACATTTCCTTTACATGGGCAGCCAAATTTTTTATATTGCTAGGCTAACCACCAAAATTATTCAGTATAAAGGATATCAGATTGCAAAAGATTGGCATTTCTTTATATTTTATAACATATAGTTTAACATACATTTAATAACATTTTTTAATTCTTTTTGTTTCCTGTTAGTGAGTTCAGGTTCATAACAAATGTGAACATAGAACAATTAAATAACATAATTGCCACATTGTGTGTAGGAATCATAGCATGATTAGAATCAAGTTAAACTCAGGATTTATGAATGTTAACATTTACAATAGGAGGTAAAGTTACCATAATGCCTGTTCCTTCACGCACCTTGATTATTACCTTCAGCAGTGATCCCCAAATTCCAATCATAATACTCCTTATATGAAGGGACACCATGCCTTTTTTTCAAGCAATGTCAAATATTGTTGTTTTAGATAAATGGCAATGTTTCGATTTGTCCAAAGCTATTCCTCAAGTACCTGTCAGGCTCACGAACACTAAAGGTGCTTGTTCATGATGTCTTTTGAAAATCGAAGGTCTTCACAATTGGTATCATGATGCCCAGCATGATGATGAACAATGGGATTTGATGCTACGTTATGAGAAGCATTTGATTGGTGAAGAGCAATAATAGGCATTGTGTCTCCAGTGGGCAAAAAGGGGATAGAAAAATTCAGGCCAAATAGCTCTTGTTGGCTCTTTTGGCCAATCATTTTTTAAGTGCCATGCCAATTCCCTACATTTCAAATGTTTATTGAATTACCACTTATGTTATCTTTGCATAATCAGTGGCTTAGTCATTTTACTTAATCCACCTGTGCTAGTGCTGATATGTTAATGAAACCTGCACTGTCATGTTCCTTGAAGATTGGATTTAAGGAATACACCCCTAAAAACTACAAAGAAAATATTTTATTAATTTATAAATGCTAATGATATGTGCAATAGCTCCTATTATACATGTGGTCATTTTATATCAATGATCGCATTATTAAATTGTTACATGCAAGAAAACCAGCATACAAAGTATGTTAAATTATTGTGAATAGCATATAAACAGTAAATCAATATTACATTGTATCTAGATTGGTAGTTATTACAGTCTGATTGAAATGTGTAGGGTTGGAAAACAGTTAGATAATTCTAACATACATGAGGAAAATAAGTATTTTTTTTCAATTGTACTTTAATAGATATTTGTATTCCTATTGCTACAGTTTTGAAATCCCTGCTTAGTCCCCCCTCCCCCTCCCGTTTGTAACAAAATAAAAAAAATAAAAAAATAAAAACAACAACAACAAAAAAGATAAATCATGAGTTACTTACTTTTTCTCCAGTACTGAGTCTCCTTTGGTGCTGCTGTGGCCTCCTCCTTGGCTGATGTCTCCAGGATGATGGTCCAATCCAATGCTCCTCATTTGAGAGCAATAGGGAGCATGGTGCAGTGATGTGCTTATGATTGAGCCATAGAGAATCATTGACTACAATGGTCCTCTTGTGCAGACCATGACAGCACTGCTGTGTGAAATCCCAGTATGGTAGGATAAGAGAGACAGAAAGTGACAGTTCTAATTAGTAAAATATGACATTTTGAGGGGCAAGAGATAGAACCGATGGCACTATAACAACTTTAATAAGATAAAGTTGTTATAGTGCCTGCAGTGTTCCTTGCCTGATACCTTTAATTCTGTTATAATTTACATAGCTCACAGGTTTTGCTATGTAGGACTAGAAAACAATGGAAAGTCAGTATCTTTACAAATTTTTAAAAACTTAAAATGTGTGCCATTTATACAGGTGAACAACTTTAAGTCGCTGGATAAAAGCATCTCTCTCGGGGGGCAGAACCGAGATTCCTGGCTGAGCAGACGTGCCGAGACCAAGCTCCTGACAAAACTCACTACTTTGGGGAAAACCTCCAGAAAACTGGCCCGCCTACCATTTGGAGGGCAACAGTTGTGCTAGGGACACCCGGGTGAAATCTTGAACACCAGACTCATCCTTATACCCAACCGGGAACCCGAAATCATCTGCTGAGGCCTACCAGTGATCGAGTAGGGGAGAGGTGGCCGCTCTCCTCATTTGCAAACTGGCACGAAAGTCCCTCAGCTCTCCACTCCTCCCCCCTCCCCCATTTGGACCAGAGGGAGATATCCCGGTCCTCGCTGGGCATCTGGAGCAAACCATCTGGATCAAACCCTAAGCATTGTACAAAGTATCAGTGGCGCTTCCCCCACGAGGCACACTCAAGATGGAAGCTGTAAACTTTCCACATAAGCCAAGTCAGCACATAAACTAAATGCATCGTCAAGATACCACCGTTGATATCATGCAGCGCCAAGAAGAATTGTTCAGCTGCTTCTGGGAGAGGCTTCGGAGATGCAAGCAGGCAGTTTAGATCAAGCAGCAGGACTCTCTGGAGATGGGTGAGCAGGGTTGCAGGCAGCGGGGAGCGAGGGGGCCACCCTTGGGCGCAGCACCCGTACATCCACCAATGCTCATTCTCCCTAGCCCACCCGGGCTGAAGGTCAAGACGGCTTTGACACTGGCGGCGGGTCACGCGCTTCAAACAGCAGCCAACCACCTCTGCCACTCCTGCATGAGGAGGAAACTCGGTCTCCGGAAGCCACCGAGTTTGTGGCCAAGAGATGCAGGCCTACACTACACAGCCTGTGGCTGAAGGGACACCCTCATTCACACCCTCCACGGTCCACCAGCGGGTTTCAGATGGGATCAGATGAGAGAGATAACCACAAACAGACTTTCTAATGACTAGAGCCATCTCTCCACTGTGTTCCTATGCATGTAACTCAGCCATAATGCCTCATATAACCATGACCATAATGCTTAGGGTCTATAGTGTTTTTTCCCTAGAGCTCTGGACCACAGTGAATTGCAATCTTTAGCATAGCCAGTTATGTTTTATAGAATGTTATTACCTACATGATCTACACCCGATGAGCCAGACTCATAACATTCACATACACTGTCTGTCTAGCCCAGTTTATTTTGCTATCCAGAGTTCACGATACATAATCAACGTGTTTGACCAAACAGTTTCTAATTATGTAGACATATTCTTTTACTCTAACATCCTGCAGTCCATAATGTGCAGTTTAGCAGACCGTACTAGGCTACCGATATTAGCATGTTCAAGCATATTTACCCTCTCTAGCATTTATCGACATAGCTACCGTGTTATTGTTTATATTATAAAATTTTGCATGTCTCTCCAATTACCCCAAATGTAAAGTATGATGATAAGCCTGAGGATTGCTGTTGGGGCACCACAAGTCTGTATGTAATGTTCCTATGCACTGCAAAAATACAAAAAATAAAAAATAAAAAAGGCATCTCTCTCCAATTCAAAATATCTATTCAATTAATGCTTTGCTCACCACTATGTCAAAGTACCTCATGATGCTAGATCTAAACTATTTTATACTAATGAAAAGCAGTGATACAACAATGCTTTAGTAGTTACTTTGGAACAAAATCATTCTTGTTTATTTTCATTCTCCTCCTATTTTTATATGTGTTTCTCTGGACGGATGCTAAACTATGGAGTCTGGCCCCTTTTTACAGTTAGTATATACAGATATTTTAATATTTATATTGGAATCATACTGAATTTTTTTCTTATAATAACTATAGGTAATCAGTTACAAACAGGAAAAGATGAGGTTTCCCTTAGCTAAAGCTGTTCTGTATGTTGGTTAAGCATTCACTTTGACAAAGTGCATGGTTCTAACTCATTTGCCTATCAATTTATATTGTATTGATAAGGTAACTTCCAAGAGGAGCCACCCCTAGCAATAGCTGGGTTATATGTTACCCCATCCACAATAATCTAATCACGAATAGGGGAGCAGGTTATTGTAGTTTAAATCTATAAATGCTGCATGAGCAACGGTGGGAAAAAATTTTGTTTACAATATAAAAAAAGTATTTTTATTTTTTTTGGCATTAATATTCCTTTAGCATCTGTGGCTGATCATTTAAAAAAAAACTATTTATAGTTTTGACAGTGGCACTAGCAGAGCACAGGGGTCATATCATATGCCAGCAATACTTTGCTTCCAAAGTTCCAAAGATTTCAGCAGGTAGCAAATCACGTACACTGTCATATTAGATTTGACATCTGTGTGAAAGCTGGGGCATACTGCAAGCTCCGATAGCTTTGGTTTGCTAAAAAAGATGGTTTGAGAACAGTCATCAGACCCTGCAAACACCTCTCAAACCACACTATTGCTCATAACTGGCTTTAAGAAGGTTAAAGTGGATGAATGTCTCGAGCCTCCAAGTTCATACATTTATTGGGTCAAGTACAATATTTTCATTATATGATATGACAATCATATTTATTGTTAGTATTAATAGTCATATGAAACTATTTATTTTCTTTATGTTTTACAAAATTAGCACTCAGAGTATCCTTTGTTGTGTGTTGAAAATTTGCTCACTTACAGGGCTCTCTATTCATTTACAATACCATGAACTCTTGGTATGCTTACTGAAGATTTCAGAACATGCAGACCAATGCAGATCCTAAATATCGCTTAAG